TTTTTTTTTGCAAAAGCTTTTTAATAAGATGAGATATCCCAGTTATTAATTCTTTGTGATAGTTCCTGTACAACCAGGGTTTTATTCATAAAATATTTACCTACACCAATGTCTTCAAGAGTTTTACCTATTCTGTCTTTCTACAGATTTAAGGTTTCAGTTTTAATATTTAGATCTTTGATCCATTTCAAATTTAGTTTAGTGCATGGTAAAAGATATGGGTCCAATTTTAATCTTGGGCATGGGTAGAGCCAGTTTTTCTAACACCATTTATTATAGAGGCTTTCTGCCAGTGAATGTGTTTGGCACATTTGTCAAAGATAAGGGGGCTGAGTATGTCTGGAGTTGTTTCTGCATCTTCTAATCTGTTCCATAGATCCTCGAATCTTTTTTTTTTCCCAGTGCCATGCTATTTTTTATCATAGTAGATTTAGTATAATTTCAAGTCAGGAATTGTGATGCACCCTGCCTCGCCTTTGTTGCCAAGAATTGTCTTTGCTATTCTAGGTCTCTTCTGGTTCCAAATTAATTTTAGGATTGTTTTCTCTAATTTTGTGAGCTGTGCTATTGAAATTTTCTCTGGTTTTGGTATCAGGGTAATGCTTGCTTCCAGGAACGAATTTAGGAATATTGCTTCCCTTTCCATTTCAATAAGGAATTTGAGAAGTACTGGTACTAGGTTTTCTCTAAATTTCTTGTGGAATTCAGCAGGGAATCCAACAGGGCCTGGGCTTTTCTTTGTTGGTATGTTTTGTTTTGTTTGTTTGCAGAACCAGGGATTGAATACAGACCCTTGTGCTTCTCAGGGAAGCACTTAGTCTACTGAGCCATCTCCCTGGCCCCTGTTGGTATGTTTTTAATAGCACCTTCAATTTCATTAACTGATATTGATTTATTCAAGATTTTTATATATTCTTGATTCATCTTTGGTCATTCATATATATTTAGGAATCTTTCCATTTCTTCTGCTTTTTCCAATTTATTAGAATACAAGTTTTCAAAGTAGATGTAG